TGAAGGTGGTGTCCACTGTGCTCCAGCTGGGCAACATGACGTTTGAGAAGGAGAGGAACAGTGAGCAGGCCACCATGCCTGACAACACCGGTAACTATTAGAAGTACTATCACCAGTTGTGTAAACTCACCTCGTAACTTCTCTGAACCCGTTCTCCGTCTCACATCACCCATCTACCCCAGCTGCCCAGAAGGTGTGCCACCTGCAGGGCATCAACGTGACCGACTTCACCCGCGCCATCCTCACACCCAGGATTAAAGTGGGCAGGGAGGTGGTGCAGAAGGCCCAGACCAAGCAGCAGGTTACCAAATGTCATGAACGAAACACAGAAAATAAAGGCTCTCCTTGATTATTTCCTTCTCTATTATTTAAAGTTACATAGAGCGATACAAATTTTGTCTTCCTTCCTCCTCCTTCAGGCTGATTTCGCGGTGGAGGCTCTGGCTAAGGCCATGTACGAGCGTTTGTTTCGCTGGATCCTGGCCAGAGTCAACAAGACGCTGGACAAGAGTAAGAGACAGTCATCGTCCTTCCTGGGCATCCTGGACATCGCTGGTTTTGAGATTTTTGAGGTGAACACCTCCTGAAACATTCAAACACTTAAATGTCTGTATTATTCTATTTCTGCTGTTTTCCAATCACACATTTCTCGTCCCCAGGACAACTCTTTTGAGCAACTCTGCATCAACTACACCAACGAGCGTCTGCAGCAGCTCTTCAACCACACCATGTTCATCCTGGAGCAGGAAGAGTACAAGAGGGAGGGCATCGAGTGGAACTTCATCGACTTCGGTCTCGACCTGCAGCCGTGCATCGAGCTCATCGAGAGGCCGGTGAGCTGCCACAGACACATGATGTGTTTGAACCTGGAGTTTGATGAATTAGCTCTGAATAGTCTACTCAAGTTTAAAAAAGGTTAAGAATTGAGAATACAAAGCAGCTCATTGTTACTTATAAAAAAATGTAGGAAGTCACATGGTCAGTTGTATGGATATCATTAAAAAATAGTGTAGTTATAGCATATTTATAATGTGTAAAAAAAAATTTTTAAGTTGCTTTCATTCATGTGAAGTCCTGTGAAAATTCAGTGTGAAAATAATAATAACCTAAATCTACTATATGTATCTAATGTAGGTATTTACATAAAAGAACAGGGATAGTTTTACCTAAGACGTGATTTAAGGCGAGTTTAGTGCAGCAGACAATTAAGATGTGTAGATAGTGACTGCAAACAAAATCAGTAGCTGCTTGCACAGCTGATAAATGCAAAAGAAAACAATGTGACATTTTATTACATGTTCTTATCTAATACAACTGCAGCCATCTGCTTGAAGTATTTTAAGATTAATTCAAATTTCACTTTATTCCTAAGTTTGTAAGCTGGGACAAAGGTGAATGATTTCACATGGAACAGGCAACAGTTAGATTCATTTAAATAAATAATAATTAAAAGATCTGAATGTTAAATCTAACAGAGTCTGATGTGTTGATCAGTAAAGTACCAGCATCTCTACAGTCCTCACGATGCCATCTAAGCATGCTGGCATCATGGCACTACTGATCTCTGATAAACAAAGAGGAAATGACCTTGTTATCTTGACTCAACAAGATTAACTGACTCATCATGAGAAAACAATAAATTTTATCTTGACATAATAAACTAAATAAACCTCTAATCACAAGATAAAAAGTTCCATTATCGTTAGATGATAACATTAGAAAATAAATGTGCAGCTGTTCTCTGCTTCTACAGTTCAGGGTTTGAGGTAAAGTAGACTTTTGTCTTCAGCTCATTGCTCGTGTTACCTACACCTGTTCCCACATCCAAACCCTAAACCCTGATTCAAAAGTAGCTGCATCCGGAACCACATGTAAAAAATATTCTCTTCCATTGAGCCTCTGTTTCCTCTAATGTGCTGCAGAACAACCCTCCAGGTATCCTGGCCCTGCTGGATGAGGAGTGCTGGTTCCCCAAAGCCACCGACGTTTCCTTTGTGGATAAGCTGCTCAACACCCACACTGGACACGTCAAATTCTCCAAACCCAAGCAACACAAAGATAAGCTGATGTTCAGTGTGCTGCACTACGCTGGTAAGGTGAGGATCTCTAAAGGCTTCAAGAACGAGGCTGACAAGCATGTGTGTTCTTCTTCTGTGCCTTAGAGCTCCACTAATGTCCAAAAACAGACCAGTAAGCCGTAGTGTTTCACTGTGGGATGAGCCTCTTCATCACCATGAAGACACACTTTAGTTTATATTAACCTCATCCTGTTGCCACAAATGTCTACTAGAGCACCAAATATGCATTAATCCACGGCTGAAAATCGTCCAAAACAAATGCACTGTTTCCTCCTGTTTTAGTAACGTTTGCTGACAACTAAAGGTGTCCCGCTGTTTTAGGACATTACTGAGCCTTATAAAAATATGAATCGGCATATTTGTGAGATGTTTCTAAAGAAAAAATGAGCTTGAGCGATGGACTCACAAGTTGCTGGTTTTGGTCGTGAACCTTGTCCTTGAAATATTTTGGTCGTTAGTCTGTCGTTTATTTGAAGGTTAATTGATAAATTGTTTGATCTACAAAATGCTGGAAAATTATGAAAAATGTCCATCAGTGTTTTACAAACTCTAAGATTATGTAATCAGATGTGTTGTTTTGTACACAGCCGAAAGATATTTACCTAACGGCATAGAGGAATAAAGAAACGAGGAAATATTCACATTTAAGAAGCTCTAATCCAAGAATTCAGGATTTTTTTATTATTATTATTTATTAAAAAATACTCAAAATTGACAAAATTGAGTCACAGCTGACAACTACTTGCTGAGCTTTAATTAACCATCAAGAACCTTGACTTCTATTCATGTTTCCAGGTGGACTATAATGCAGCCAATTGGTTGACAAAGAACATGGACCCTCTGAATGACAACGTAACAGCGCTGCTCAACAACTCCTCCAGCGCCTTCATCCAGGACCTGTGGAAAGACAGTCAGTCCTCCATGAGACAACACACATGCCATCATCACATTAGATTTGTTGTTGTGGGAATAAAAAATCTTTGGTGTCCATATCAGCGGATCGAGTGGTGGGTCTGGAGACCATTACCAAGATGTCTGAGAGTTCGGGGCCGACCAAATCCAAGAAGGGCATGTTCCGCACAGTGGGCCAGCTGTACAAAGAGTCTCTGGGCAAACTGATGACCACGCTGCACAACACACAGCCCAACTTCGTCCGCTGCATCATTCCCAACCACGAGAAGAGGGTAAGAGGTCATGATATCTCTATCTGTCTGTAGAGAGGAGGAGTGTGTTTATGCGTTCAGTGTTGGCTGCTGTGCTACAGGCTGGTAAGATGGACTCCAACCTGGTGCTGGAGCAGCTGAGGTGTAACGGGGTGCTGGAGGGCATTCGGATCTGCAGGCAGGGATTCCCTAACCGCATCGTGTTCCAGGAGTTCAGACAGAGGTGAGCAAGAACATCATTTACACTGATTATAATTGTTCTTTAAAGGCATCAATGATCATTTTAACAGTGGCAGGATCTTTTTTGAATAATGTAGATTTCAGTATTAACAGTTCCGTTTGCTTTGTGGATCCATTCTTTCAGGCATTTTATTTATGCAGCTTATATTCAATTATACATCTCATTTAAGCCTCCAAATCTCAATGACAAATGCACAACATTTCTTCAGTTCTATAACAACTGGATGATGGACGCGCATTCTTTTTGTTTGCCTCTGTTAAATCGACCACCTGTCCTTTTGGCAACTCTTTGCAGCAGGCTTTGAAACTTGAGCAGCATGTAAATTGTTCAATTTATTCCTATTTCTACTGGCTCAGGGTTAAACTTAATGATGCATTTGTCACCCCATCTTGGCTATTGCAATTCATTTTTCCCTGCCTTTGCAAAGTCTTCCTTGATTGCTAAGGCACTGAGCACACTCCTATTAAAGTGGACGTTTGACATCTTTTGTATCTTCTGCACAAAATGAACAAATGGCAAACTGTACACTTTAGTCTAAAGGAACATGCTGTTATAATTGCAAGCTGTAAAGAGTAGATTATAATTTATTACAACAATAAGCGCTGTTGCTACAAATATGGCAAGAGATGTAAATTAATATACTTGTTTTACTGCTCAGTGCACTTTTAATGCAGCTGCTTATTTTTATCATGACAGCTGCACCTTAGTGGTCTTAAACTTTAAATTTCACACATTTAAAGGTGATATTGTAGTACAACCGTAATAAAATAATTTTGACTTTGACTAAATGCAGACAAGCACATTATGGACCACAGTTTAATCCTTGTATGGTGAATGGTTGTAGAATTTCACACTGTTTCGTTGTTTACAGGTACGAGATCCTGGCTGCCAATGCCATCCCTAAAGGCTTCATGGATGGGAAACAGGCCTGCTGTTTGATGGTGAGCTGCGTGAAAATGAATGATTTTAAAGCTGCAGTAGGCAGATATCTGGAAGAAGCAAGAAAAGCAACCCAGAATTTGAAAATGCAGTCCTCTTCCAATAAGTCGTCTGTCGTTGTTCTAAGCTCTTGGCACCAGACGAGCGCAGGCATATGAGTGTGCTTTATATACTTCCTTGGCAAGATTTTCTGCCCTTAAATCAGGTTTCTTACCATCTTAAGAGACTCATCTGCATTTGTAAAACGGCCAGTCAATAAAATATAACACCCTCTCTCTGAAAAGACTGGCTAAAGCCTCCTGACACTGGCTAGGTTTTCTGAAAAGGTGCAGACGTTTAGTAGTCTTCAGTTTTTGCCCAGTGACGCCCCCCAAAAAACCTGCCTACTTCAGCTTTAATATTATAAATGAGTGCTGAGGCAATCTATATTGTTTCGAGGCAACCTCATGATCCCAGTGATGACCAAGTTGACCTACTGCTTATGAATTTACTATATTGTACGACTGTATTTTGAAGAAGAGGTTAGCACTTTCCTTTGATGTCTGCAGGTAAAGCACCTGGATCTGGACCCTAACCTGTACCGTATCGGCCAGAGTAAGATGTTCTTCAGGACGGGGGTTTTGGCCCAGCTGGAGGAAGAGAGAGACCTCAAACTGACCGTCGTCATCATCGCCTTCCAGGCTCAAGCAAGAGGCTTCTTGGGTCGCAAGTAAGGCACACACTTAGACCTGAGAGTAGCGTCTTGTATTCTGTTACTGCAGTTCGGGGCTCCACATCTCATTTCTTTGTGTGTGTTTTCAGGGCTTTCAGCAAACGTCAGCAGCAGCTGAGCGCCATGAAGGTCATCCAGAGGAACTGCGCCTGTTACCTCAAACTCAAGAACTGGCAGTGGTGGAGGCTTTTCACTAAGGTTATACACACACACTCATTCAAACAGTCATGTTTCCATCACTTCAGAGAGAGAGATCTAGACAAGGCACAATCACTATTTGGCCAACCTCTGACCAAAACTAGTCTCACCCTCACCTTAAACAGTGTTCACCCAAAAATTAAAAGATTCATGGGGGTTTACTTGTTATCAATTTGGTCTTTTTCTTTGATGTTATTATCAGGGCAAAGTTTTACCCCTATAGTGAATTTAAAATTGATTTAGAATTTTGGTTTGAAGTAGGAATTTACTATTATTTCCTTATGCTACCATGGCTACAGACTTCTGAATGACAGAGGAAAGTTTAACTAGCACAGTTCATACACAATTCAAAGGGCTGCACATGCTGCATTAATATGTTTAAAAATACAAGGAAAACTGCAAGAAAAAAAAGTTTATTGAAGCATAGAGGATTTAAAGATAAATTAGAAAATAAACAAAAATACAGACAGGTTTGAAACAGAATTTATAGGATACAAGCATATGTTCCATGATGGATTTGTGGATGCGTGTGTCTGTGGTTCAGGTGAAGCCACTGCTGCAAGTAACCAGACAAGAGGAGGAAATGGGTCAGAAAGAGGAGGAGCTAAAGGTTGCCAAAGAGGTGGCGGCAAAGACTGAGGCCGAACTGAAGGACATCACCCAGAAACACACCCAGGTGAAACAAATTCTTTATTAGGGTCCGAGCACCCAAAAAGGTGCGAAGACCCTATTGGAACTGCTTGGATTATTATTATTATTATTCGTGCCAAAGACACGCGTTTTTGAGGCCCTAAACATACTCGAAAACTCACCAAAATTGCCATGTACATCAGACCCGGTGAAAAAAGTTATAATTTGGAAGAACAATACACACCTCAATCGAAAAATTGCTCCACAACGCCACCTTCTAAATTGTCAAAAGCACATTTGGCCTAGAGCTACGCAATTTTGTAGGCATATAGAGCAGGTCAGGATGAATAAAAAAGTCAGACCATTTTGTGTTTTTTGAATTCAACTGACTGTTGTCGGAAGGTTGTTTCACCTACACTGACAAAATTCGCTGGGCATGTGTAGCAGGTCAGGACGCACAAAAAAGTCAATCAGCGCCAAGCCCTAACCCCAACAGGAAGTCCGTTATGTTGAAAAACCCTGGTGACAATTTTGTCGCATTTGGCTGACTTTTGGCCATTTTTGACCATTTTCACAATCTATCTCCTCCTACAGGGAAGGTCGTACATACCTGAAATTTGGCCGGCACAAACTACAGA